AGTTCCAGCCTTTTTTGTGGGGAACTGAAGACTAGATGTGGAAGGCTTAGAGAGGATTCTAACACTGCTGGGATTGAGACAGAAATGATGTCAGATGGTGTTCCTGGTTAGGTTCCTCCATCTGCACCTTGACCAGTTTCTACTGAGATGATTCTCGAGAACCTGTGAACTCAAAATTCAGTGTAAAGGGAGTTCAGATAGAGATGATGAGGGGTCAGAAGAGGCCAGTGGTGAATTTAACTCCATAGCCTAGAATCTTGTAGGGGTAAAAACTATTTATCATCACCTGCACACTCTTACTGGGCACGTATTGTGGCCAAGACTCAGGTTCCTGTGTGTCTGTAGAGGGCCTTCGTTGCGGGTATCCACAAAATGAGTTGAAACAAAGCTTGCGCATGAGGAGGACAGATGGAGCTCTCCCTTGCTCCTGCCACCTTCTCACCATCTGCAGTCTTTTTCTCATTGCTGAGGGATCCTTCCCGTGGTCACATTTGCCTGTAGCCCTCCTGAACCCTAGAGTCTGCAGACAACCTCTAGCCGGACAGCTTCTGGGCGGAGAAACAGGCCATGAAGAGCCTCCTGGGTGTGCACATGTGGCTGCGCTCTGTGATGAGGGAAAAGCAGGAGTATCTGTCTGCCGTGATCACGTGTAGCGGTCACGGTGAGTGATGACAGGGCCGCTCCTCGTTAGCCTCCAATCAGGCTGTGTGGCAGCGATCGCCTTCATGTTGATAGAGAGTCCGTGTAGTTTGGGAGCGAGGCTCGGCCTCTTTCAGTGAGTGTCTCACAGTTCCTTTCTCCCTCAATCCCGTGATGCTGTCTAGAGCGAGGTGCTGAACTGATTAATCAGCAGGATGTAAAGACAACTGCTGCCCAAAGCAACGGTTGTCCCACTCCATCCACGGAATAATTAAACAAACAGGGCACAGCAGGGTCCCCTCCAGTGAGGACTTGGGTGCAGGAAATGCCAGTCTCTCCTTGCTTGAATCCAGGTGTCAAGCCATCCTGGCCACCACTCAGGCTGTTCCTTTAGCTTTCTGGATCCCATTCCCTGCCGGTTTATGCTTGGGCGTGAAATAGTGACTGTCCCTTTGACCCCGAGAGCTGGGAGAAGGCCGTGCATGTTAACAGCTGCCCGGACCCTCTCTGGAGTGCGGCAGGGAGAGGCGGGGCAGGAGTAGATGTTGCCAAGAACCTAAGGGCGTTAGTGACAAAAGCAAGAACTCCTGGCAAGAAGTCCGAGGGACTTTCTTGATCGCAAGTGGCATCTCCTAAGCACTTTAATTACAGCGGATTAAGCAGGAAGTGGAGTGCTGGACTAAAGGAATAATGATACAAAGGAGGTGAAGCAGAAAAACTCAATTTCCTTCCTTTAAAGGGAAAAAATGTCCATTTATTTAGATGAATTGCAAAGAAAAGAATGGAGCGTGGCCTTCCCCCCAGCTCGGAGCTCAATGGGTTTTTAAAGAACTGGGTATCTCTTTGGCCAGAACAGCAACTGGGATCTTCAGCCTCCCTGCAGAAAATGAGCCGCGGGCTCGGGATTTTGTTAAGCTGCAGGAGCATTCCTTCTGGACCGATGACTCACTCATTCAGCCCTTCTTTCCCGCTTCTCCTTGTCGGCCCTCGCCTGGCTTAGCTCATATTTTACATTCAGCACCTCTAGCTACCCAGAAATTGCATGCGAAATTGTGGAATAGAAAAGCAGTGGGTGCGAAATTGTGGAATAGAAAAGCAGTGGGCCATGTGCTCCGTCAGCTCCGCCTGGCATTGCATCGTCCTTGACTTGCATGCTCAGGGGCTGGGCTAGGAGATTTGCCTACAGAAAACCTGAAGGTCCCATGGACCTTCCACAAGTTGTGATTTGAATACACGCTCGTAGCACACATGCTGTGTAACTGGGGCAGATCTGTAGGAATGAATGGAACTGAAATCAGACCTTAGAAAGTCACGGTGAACAAGAAAATTGCCAGAATAGAATGCAGATACACCTAGTGGTTACTGTCCTGTACGTAGCGGCTGTGTGAGATTTGACTGTGTTTTACTAAGAGGAGCCTTGTTGGGCCCAGTGCTTAATAACCAGCTCTGCCTGTCGGGAATCCCCCACAGTATCCTGTTTGTGATTCACGCTATGCAGAGTCCAGGGCAAGGAGTTTTAAAACCTTATCATGTTTTGTTTTGTTTTGAGATGGAGTTTTGCTCTTGTTGCCCAGGCTGGAGTGCAATGGCGCAATCTCGACTCACCACAACTCTGCCTCCTGGGTTCAAGTGATTCTCCTGCCTCAGCCTCCTGAGTTAGCTGGGATTACAGGCATGTGCCACCATGCCCAGCTAATTTTGTATTTTTAATAGAGACGGGGTTTCTCCATATTGGTCAGGCTGGTCTCGAACTCCAGACCTCAGGTGATCTGCCCGCTTCGGCCTCCCAAAGTGCTGGGATTATAGGCTTTTTTTTTTTTTTTTTTTTGAGATGGAGTCTCGCTCTGTCGCCCAGGCTGGAGTGCAGTGGCGAGATCTCAGCTCACTGCAAGCTCCGCCTCCCAGGTTCAAGCCCTTCTCCTGCCTCACCTCCCCAGTAGATGGGACTACAGGTGCCTGCCACCACGCCCAGCTAATTTTTTGTATTTTTAGTAGAGATGGGGTTTTACCGTGTTAGCCAGGATGGTCTTGATCTCCTGACCTCATGATCTGACCACCTTGGCCTCCCAAAGTGCTGGGATTACAGGCATGAGCCACTGCGCCCGGCCATTTTGTTTTGTTTTGTTTTGTTTTGTTTTTAAGAGACAAGGTCTCGCTCTGTCACCCAGGCTGGAGTGCAGTTGCGTGACCATAGCTCACTGGAACCTGGAACTCCTGAGCTCCAGTGACCCTGCTACCTCCACCTCCCGAGAAGCTGGTACCTGTGAGTGTGCACCATCACACCTGGCTATTTTTTTTTAATTAACTTTTTGTAGAGATGGGGTCTCGCCATGTTGCCCAGGCTTGTCTTGAACTCCCACCTCTGCCCACGTGGTGGGCATTCAATTCCTATGTGTCTTCCTCCCTCCTCTCTTGACTTGCCTCCTCCTGGATCATGATAGCCTATCGTTTTCCTGTCACAGCATTAATGGTAAGGCTTGAGGCTGGGCGTGGCACCCATGCCTGTAATCCCGGTGCCTTGGGAGGCAGAGGTGGGAGTTCAAGACAAGCCTGGGCCATGTTCAGCACTTTACATGCCCATTCATTGAATTTGCACAGCCGCCCATATGGCGGGCATCATTATTCCTACTGTACAGGTGAGGAAACGGGGCTCTGTGAAGTGTGACTGTTTGTGGGAGGCAGCAGCCGGCATAATGGAAAAAGCGTAGGCGTTGGAGGTGGGATCCAAGTCCAGCCTTCCTCCTACAGGTTCAGTGATGTGGGGCAAGTTACATAACATCATTTTCTCATGAGTAAAATCCGGACAGGCATACCTACACGCTGGAGCACGGGGAGGATTCAGTGAGATCGTGTAGATGACAGCACAGGCCTGGCGTACGAGAGAAAATGGCAGGGATCATTCTATGACCTCACAGTGGAAGAAGCAAGATCTAAGCCCTAAGGTGGCGCGCATCCCACCCTCAGGCTCCTTCCACCAGGACACCGGCTTCTGGATCTCCGCGGAGTTCTGTTCTTAAGTTAGAAGGCAAGCAGAGCGGGGACACAGTGCAGGACACCTGGGGACCCAGTGCCCTTGGAATTCTTTACCTTCAGCTTTGCATGCTGCACATGAGTCCTCATGGCTCAGCAGAGAGAGCCGAGGTCGGCAGGAGGATCTCTGTCTTGCACAACATATATGATTCTCTGAGCATTTCTATATGTTGAAAATATTTTATTTAAAAATGTACAACCACCCCTCCTCCCCAAAATTGCGTGACAGAGATTTCATCAGACCTGACAGCTAATGAGACAAGGAGGACAAGGCACAGGGAGGAACAGAGAAATAATCCTTGTGCATACCTTCCGAATTTCCATATATTACTAAAATTACCCATATCTGTGTCTGTCCTGCCGCTCTGTGCATTACATATCTTTGCATCCCCCATGCCTAGCACAGTGCCCGGCACATAGTAGGTGCTCAAAGTGCCCATCATTTGTTGGACTGAGCTCACAACACAGAAATAGAGAGCCAGTTAGAGCAAATGCTGTCCCTTTTCCCAGGACTGTAGCTTCCAGACCCGTGTGAGGCCTCAGCCTGATTTCTGTTCACCTGAGGACCCCAAGGCAAACTGCATTTCCATCAGCACCTCACTTGCCCGCAGCAGCGGGACGGGTTGGTGGCGGGCACCAGAGGTGCTCAGTGTTCAGTCGCTCAGAAAGTGGGTTAAAGGGCAGCGCCTCCTGCTCCCTCCAGCAATGCACTTCCATTCTCTGAAATGACAACTTCTCTGCACTCACTTAATGGGATCCCAAATAACACGTTGCAGACCAGTCTTTTATCACTGTTGCCCCTTGGAACACATTTCGAATGCTGGCCATTAAAAGCAGGCCATTTCATGGTTCTTTAATGATGACACTAATAACTGTGGATTTTTGTCTCCCAGAGTCATGATGAGCTGAGCCAAGGAGCAAATTACAGAGCTAACTTCTATGTGCATGGTTTACTGATCTGTGAGCTTCAAGGAAACTGCACCAGCCCCTATAGTTTGGCAGTCCAGACTACGTTTTCATCTGCGTAATTGGGCCACGAGGGCACAGTTAATATTCAATTTATATTAATAGGAAGACAAAGAACATGATGTCCCAGCTCCATATTGAAGTAATGGGCATTTCAAAATATTCTACCTGGTAATTATAAATAAATCAGTTTTCCCATGACCCAGCCAGGATGATGTCGCTAATTCACTGTGCATTTCCTCATAATTTATCCTGAGAAAGTTCAGTGCTGCCATGTGCACTTATACCACAGAGTATACAAGGGTACTCCTTCGTAAAACACCCAGCTGTCTTCATCCATGCTGTTGCCCATCTTTTCTTAACAGGTGAAGGTCATGCTTCGCATCTGTTCCACCTTGGCTCGAGATACCTCAGAATCCAGCTCTTTCTTAAAGGTGGACCCACGAAAGAAGCAGATCACCTTGTACGATCCCCTGACTTGTGGAGGTCAAAATGCCTTCCAAAAGAGAGGCAACCAGGTTCCTCCAAAGATGTTTGCCTTCGATGCAGTTTTTCCCCAAGACGCCTCCCAGGTGGGTATCAGCCCCCTCTCAGGCTCAGCAATGTTGATTAAAGAAGCGTTTACTCATTCACAAGGGCCCTTGAGCTGGGAGGGTATCTTCTGGAGCGTTTGGATGGACCAGTTCCTTCAGGAGTCAATCTGAGCTCCATTGAATGGTCCAGTGCTTTTGAATTACTGGTGTCAGACTTTGGGCAGGATCAGTGTGCAGGAATTTCAATAAAACATGTCCTTGAGGAGCAGGAAGTGCGAGCCAGTCAGTGGATCACACACAGAAGCAGGAAGATAACAGAAAGGGACAAGGACAATGCGTCAAGGGGCTGGTGACAGATCCAGTAGGACCCTACTCCTGCCTGGGCATTGTACGAAGGGAAAAAAATGTTTCAGGGAGCTGATTAGAATGAGGCAATCTCCTAGGACCCAGTATAAGCACACTGGGGTTGAGGGCAAGTCTGTAGTCCTGGTAAGGAACTGGAGTTCAAGGCAGGGAAACCGAGGCTGACATGCATCCTGTGGCCTGGCTCAGTGGAGTGAAGGGGAAGAAGAGAGGCTCAGAGATAGGTGTTATATTCGCTTAATTGCTGCATTACAAATCACCCTAAAATTCAGTGCTTAACACAATAAGCATTTATTATTGCTCATCGGTCAGCTGAGCAGCTCTTCTGGTCGTAGCTCAGCTCATTGTTATGTCTATGATCAGCTGTGGCTTGGGTAGGCAGCTCTGTGGATCTTGGCTGGATATTAGCCAGGCGAAATAAAATCATGCTATATCACACCACAGGCACATGTCTTTGGGGGTTGGCTGGCTTTCCGCTGGTCTAGAATGGCCTTGACCAGGTCGGCTGGTCTCTCTTCCACATTGTCTGTCATCATCCAGCAAGCTAGCTTGGGCTAGTTTTCAAGGCAGCATCCAGGACCCATCCATGCAGGTCTCTGGAGGCCTAAGCTGAGAATTGACCCAATATCACCTCTGCTGGATTCTACTGGCCCAGCTTCATGAGATGGAGAAGAGATTGCTTCTAATGATTGGATGAGCTCCAAGTTACATTGCAAGGGGGCTGCACCCAGGCTGGGGTGGAGAATTGGGGCCATTTTTATTAATCTACTGTGAGCATAATTGGGAGGCTACTTAGGGGCCCAAGGTACCAAAATTACTGAGCCATGGGCAGCCAGTGAACTGCAGACCTCACCAGATGCTGCAACTAAAGCTTCTAGTAAATATCTGTTCTCATTTGGATTCGCCCTGGAGCTTTGGTGAAGATGGGCCTCTAAGCGGGACCAAATAGCACCTGTTCCTGTGGGGGAGGGAGCAGGGACACACGTGTAGAACTGATTGCAAAAATGAATAACCCAGGTTACAGGATATAGTGGCCTACTTTGCCTGGAATTTGCATCTTTCTGATAAGTTTCTAGTGCTTATCAAGATTTACATTAAACAGTGTATAGTATAATAACTAATAACCTATAGCAGAACCTGATGACAACAGTGCAAATAGTTACCACCTGCAGCCTCTGTGAATTTCTTCCAGGCTGCATCTGAGTAGAGGAGGTGGCGATGTTCTCACAGGCTCCTCTATTACACCGTGGGCACGTAGCACGTGTCACAGGCTCCATTCATTAAGAAGTTGAGCATGTGGTTTCCCCAAAGAGTTTTACTCGAGAAGACAAAGTACTTTATGAATCAGTTCTATGGTTTCTCTCTTTATTACATTTTTTGTGTGGCATAGCACCCAATGGGCTCGGTCATTTAAACCTGACATTGGGGCTAATAAATGGCCTACAAATAATTTCATTAACACAGTTAAAACTTTTCAGAAGCAAATCTCCACAAGTTGTAAGAATTCCAAAGCAAACCCTAAATGAAGCATGGACTATTAATGAGTTGTAGACTTATTTCAGAAAAAGGGGCCGTTTTCATTGCTAGCCTTTGTTTACATGTCACACTTGGCTCCAGAGCTCAGTATGCTCAATGTTGGCGTTTCACTTGTTTCAGAATGCCTTACTTTCATTCACATTTCCAATGTTGTTATAATTTACGTGTCTGTGTCAATTCGCAGTTTTCAGGACATTTCAGAGACATTAACACATTTGACTCTTCCTAGAATTCAGTGGGGTAGGAAGGGAGGCATTGATGTTTTCATGTCACACACAAGGAAACCAAGACTCAAAGATTAAGTCACCTGTTCAAAGTCTCTTTCCCGAGCAGATGTCCTTCCTGGATTCCACCCCCCACCCCACATTAACCTCTCTGTATCCTGCTCGGTATCATATTGTATCTTTGACCCCTAGCAGTGTGGCCTCGGGCGAGTCACTCAACCTCTCTGGGCCGCAGTGTCCTCATCTGTCAAGTAAGAACATGACCACAGTGTTCCTCATCAGGCTGTGTGATTCATCAACACATAAGGTGCTCCCAGCAGAGCCAGCAACACAGCAAGTGCTTAATAAATGCGGCTATTTTTACTGTTATCACTGTCAATAATAGCAGCATGCTGCCGGCCAGGGCCAGCTCAGCCCCACGGGGTGGGCACCCCTGGAGCCCCCAAGCCCGAAAGGAGGGAGTGTGCGGCGTGGGCCTGTGCTCTCCAGTCCTGATTTTCAGCCTGTGAAGCTGCAGCCGCCATGGTGACCCAGGCAGTTAGAAATCGTGCTTTCTCTTGGTTTCTAAGGAAATCAGCTTCCTGAAGCTAAGCAATGATTAGAACAGTCCCGGTTCCTGGTTGCCTTCGAGAGCCATCCATATGGCCCTTCAGTGGCTTCGGCAGTCGCTGGCTGCCCTTGTTGGGACACGCCTCTGTGGGGACACAGCTCTGCCGGAGAACCTGGACTTGTGGGCAGGCGGAGGCTTCCTGCAGACCTGGCCCTGCCCACGGGTCTGTGCTCGGGAAGGCCGCACGCCTCTCCAGGTCCGCGGGGAAGCAGCAAGGGGCCTCCGGGCCACCGTCAGCTCTTAACACACACCAGATGGACAGCACACTGACCACTGTCTTCTCAGTGGAGAGCCGGGCGGGAACTGTGCCAGGAGGTGATGCCTCCTCAGCTCTGCGCCGCAGCTCTCCTCTCACCCCGGCCTCTGCACAAGTGACTCAGTGTGGTCCACACACAGCCAACATTGTCCCAGGCGGCTCAGGAATCAAATACTGCTTATTTTATGTATAGCTCAAGATGATTTCTCAGCCTCCTGCCTCCCGTCCCACTTTATGTCCAAAGAAGGCTTAGTCCATCGGGCAGCCTTCTGCCCGCTCTGCAGACACGCCTCTGGCAAATTCCGTCAAGACGCTACTGCTTCTGTCTCAGGGTTAGCACTGCGCTCTCCTTGCCTAAGTCCTGGGGGGGTTGAAAGGTCCTGTGAGCCCCACAGCAGCCCTGTTCTGCCACCCCTGTGGCCCAGGAGGAGCCCCCCGCCCCCCGCAGAGTTGCTGGGGACCACCCGGGAACAAGTGACAGTTGTTGGAAGTGTGGGTTTTCAATTTTTAGTTTAGGAGAGAAAACCGATTTCCAAATACTTGGGTTCATTGTGCTGCTGGAACTTACAGCTGAATAACAACATTCACGGCCCAGGTGCCCACCGGGAGGCACGCTGCCGGAGGACTGCAAAGCCTCATGTTAGAACTGCCTCCCGGAGCTCCCACGAGCCCTGAATCCAGCTTCGAGACAGAAATGAAAGCAACAGGGCACAGCCAATAATGCTTCTGTGGAAAGTCTCAGGTGCTAACCAAAGAGAAGGAGGCTTCCCAGATTTCCAAGTTCGTCCACAAAACTGACTGAGCGCTGATGGCTTGCAGAGCGCTATGTTAGTGGGTGTTTAGGGGAAATACATCATCGAGAGCCTCGTCCCTGTCTAGGATTTAATAATCAAATGGGAGACCAGACACACACACACCAGGCCAGAGAACACCTAATAACATACCATGTGGGGACTGATATTCTATATGTTGAATGTATCTGTAGCAAAAGAAAGAAAAGGCAGGTTTTGAAAAGAGGAGGATGGGCCGGGCGCAGTGGCTCATGCCTGTAATCCCAGCACTTTGGGAGGCCGAGGCAGGTGGGTCACCTGAGGTCAGGAGTTTGAGACCAGCCTGACCAACATGGTGAAACCCCCTCTCTACTAAAAAAATGCAAAAAAAAATTAGCCGGGCATGCTGGCGCACGCCTGTAATCCCAGCTACTCGGGAGGCTGAGGCAAGAGAATCGCTTGAGCCTGGGCGGCAGAGGTTGCAGTGAGTCGAGATCACACCATTGCACTCCAGCCTGGGCAACAAGAGTGAAACTCCGTCTCAAAAATAAAGAAAGAAAAGAGGAAGGTGTGAATTGAAATCTTGGAAAGAGGTCGGGAGAGAAAGCAGATATATATCACAAACCTCTTGCCTATGTGAGGACTACCGCGTCTCTCAAGGTCTGTCTTGTGAAATGGTGGGTCACCTTTTTCCTATAAAAAGCCCGGCCTGTTTCATAAACTCTGTGTATACATGTGTCAGCAGAGGGTGAGTGGAGAGTTTAAAGGCCTTGTCTGGGAGCCCAGAGTGTCCGATGAGGGAAGGGAATGAGGTCCGTGAACACACTGCCCCATTCCAGCCTGCTCCTGCCTGCGCTACGGACGCATTTGCTGAAATGCACCATGGATTAGCAGAAGGGTGGTTGGCAGTGGACGTGCGGTAATGCTCAGGCTTGCAAAGGGCGGAAGGTTGCCAGGGGTTCTGAGCATCTCCAAAACTTCATGGCAGAGGCCAACCCACCTGGGAACACAGCTGACACCCGAAGCCCCAGGAAGGTGGGTTCACTTTCGTTGTTAGTGATTCCTCCACTGCAAGGTTCATTCATGGCTTGTGTCTCCTCTTGTGTCTGACAGGCTGAAGTGTGTGCAGGCACCGTGGCAGAGGTGATCCAGTCTGTGGTCAACGGGGCGGATGGCTGCGTGTTCTGTTTCGGCCACGCCAAGCTGGGTTCGTGAGAGTTGCGCTTTCTCATGCGGCTCGCTGGGCTCCCTGTCGTCCCATGCATTCCTCTGTCTCCCTCCCAGAGTTTCTCCGATGACAGGAAGGGCTGCGTTTCTCTTAGATGCTGAGCTGAATAACCAGTAACAAGTTAGAAGACAAACACCTATGTTCGTTGTAGGCGGACACCCACTCATGTAGGAAAGGCTTCAAGTCCAAGAGATGGACAGAGAATTGTTCCCACTTGGTCCAGGTCAGAGCCAAGCCCAGAAGGCAGAAAGGAAAATGTTCATTTCCTGAGCAGCCGCTGTTTGGGAAGCAGAGAGGCCCCTTGCCCTACCCCCTCCATGAGGCTGTGGGTTGGTGGTTGGACCCCTGTGAAAGCCAGAGGAGCAACCTCCAAGCAAAGCCCAGAGCCCAGGACGCATCTGGGGAAAGCGGTGCACACCGTCAGGAACACTCCAGCACTGGAGCGTCTGAGAAAGGAGGCAGCAGAGCCCCCAGCAAGGGGTTCATAAATCCCCCCACAGTCCCGTTTTAATTCTGACCTGCGGCCATCTGCTCCGCTGGCCTCGCCCTTACACGCTTGCTATGTTTAGTGAATTGAGGAGCTTCAAAAAGTGTCCCTTGGCAGAGATTCCAACAGGGGCCTTGCTAGAGCTCACGGAGACCAGTTCTCAGGACAGAAAGCCATCACCTCTCTCTGCACTTCCGCCCTCCCCAGCCCTTCCTCTTGATCTTGATCTAAACAGTGATCTGGATTTTAATGGAATTTGCTCATGCCATAAAAATATACACAGCATTTAACTCGAGACAGGATATAAAGTGTGAATATGTGGGCTTCATCTGGGGGGTGGCTATAAAAACTATAATGATGATGAAAAACCCGTGCCTTCCTACTGTGTGTAAAGTAGTGCAGGAACTGGATAGCATGGGATATCTGGGGTCCTCCTCAAGGTACATTGTGATTTAATCCTGTCACATGTCTGGGCTCTTGCTTTGTTTCTTTTTTTAAGAGATGGGCTCTCAGTTGCCTGGGCTGGAGTACAGTGGCATGATCATAGATTACTGTAACCTCCAATTCCTGGGCTCAAGTGATCCTCTCGCCTCAGCTTCCCCAGCAACTGGGGCCACAGGCATGCCACACCACACCCAACTGATTTTTAAAAATTTTTCCTAGAGGCAGGGTCTCAGTGTGTTGCACAAACTGGCCTGGAAATCCTGGCCTCAAGCAATCCTCCCATCTTGGCCCTGCCAAAGTGCTGAGATTACAGGCATGAGCCACTGAGCCCAGCCAGCATTCTTTATTATAGCCATTTAGTTAGTAATATCAGATAATGCCTTCCGTTGTTGTCAAATACTACTTCTCTCATCTTTTCATTCCTTCTCTTCCCTTTTCCCCCCTTCCCCGTGCCTTTCTTCTATATCCTTGGCATCTGTTTTGGAGACTCCACGGAATGATGCCTGGATACTGAACCTGCTTTCCTTCCTTCCCTGGTTCTCCCAGGAAAATCCTACACCATGATCGGAAAGGACGATTCCATGCAGAACCTGGGCATCATTCCCTGTGCCATCTCTTGGCTCTTCAAGCTCATAAACGAACGCAAGGAAAAGACCGGCGCCCGTTTCTCAGTCCGGGTTTCGGCCGTGGAGGTGTGGGGGAAGGAGGAGAACCTGCGGGACCTGCTGTCGGAGGTGGCCACGGGCAGCCTGCAGGACGGCCAGTCCCCAGGCGTGTACCTCTGCGAGGACCCCATCTGCGGCACGCAGGTGATTGCTTCTGAAGCCTGGCTCGCCCCAAGGTGGCTCCCTCCCCACCTCAGAGGCTGGGGCACCTCAACTCATGAATCACTCAGCCTGTAAACTCGGGGGCTTACAGGTGTTTACTTTAAAGTGGACTAGAGCTTTACGGCCTGCAGCTGCGGGGCCATCTGCTTGTCCAATCTAAATATTTGTACCTTGACTCTAATTGACAATGAGCAGGAACCTCAATTGTTGTAGCATTTGGGGGAGAAATGGAATTCACTTTCTTTATGCCCCTTTCAAAAAAAAAAGTACAATCTTCCTTTTGTTTAACAACAAACCGAAATATTTACTGCTCTGCACAAATAGCTAGAGCCATTACGGGGGCTGTTTATGACTCTGTAAACTGTGTGTCGGGCACTGGTTTACAGCCGGACTAGCAGTGCTGCAGGAAAAACTAATCACCACTTTCTAATTAGAACCATGATATAATTGCTAGAACTATGGAAGCCGAGAGAAGCTCCAGTTCGCCGTTTCAGGATGCTATGCCTGTTGGGAGGGTCTCTCCTTTGCTGTTTGACAATAGATGTAGGAATGACTTGGAAGCTGCAATTCAAATCCAGAATAATCAATCCTTCCAGTCTCTAACAGTAGGCTTTATTTTCCCGTGTTATCAGATGCCTCCTTTTGTAGATAGGTGTTCCGTTTGATAAGTACCTGCCTCTTTCCAACTGGGATTGTTTGCACAGGTGAGGATCCCTCCCTTGGCCTGTTATACTCATCACTCAAACCTGACCATGCTCTGCCCCTGCTTAAAGCACCTCAGATCCTTCCATTTCCCTGAGTCCTCTTTCATCTGCATCAGTCACCTCGAGGACTTGTTTAAACACTGATTGCTGGGTACTCCCCCCCAGAGTTTCCAATTCAGTAGGTCTAGAGCAGAGCTCCAAAATGTGCATTTTCAACAAGTTCCCATGAGGTGCTCGTGCTGCCCATCCAGGGACCACATGTTGGAAACCACTGTTCTGAGGCATAAAATGTGCAGAGACAGTTATCTACACAGTGTCTGTGATGGAATCAGGAGGACGCGACCCACTGCTCCTGTTCCAGGCATCTTCTCGACATTCAAATATGCTTTCATTCGCTTTTAGAACTTCATTGATGAAGTTCCACTAAGGGGTGAAAAATCTGGTTAAATGAAGGCTAAGCAAAAGAGGAAAAGACCAATGTTCACTTTAACTCCTGTTGAAAAATCTTTTAAATTCTTTGGTTTATTTTTCCATAGCGAGACAAAATTGCTAACACAGAAGAATCTCTCTTTGAAGTTTGAGGATTTTGATGGCCTCACGTTCTAAATATTGGCTCTTACAGTTCAAAATTATTTGTATAGTTAGAGTAGAAAATTGTCAGAATTTGTACCAACCTTAAGACATGTATTGCGAATTAGTTATTTGAACAAATCAGAAACATGAGTTTCCTTTTCTCTCCAAAAAGAGGAGTGCTGGTTAAATTCTGTTAATGTGATTGTTGTGATTCAGATTTAAAATAATTGCCAAGTATTTTCATAAGATTTAGATGCATTACCCTCTATGCTTTCTTTAGTCAATTAATGAGTATGCTAGGAGCATGGATTCAGGAACTAAAGGTAAAAATAGATATCTCCTAAATTTAGAAGAGACATTCAAGTATCATGAGTGTTTCAGGGTGCCTTTTACACTGGCTTCTTATTTATAACTATGCTGGTAAATATGGCCTAAAATTGGCTTTAATTAAATCACTGAAAAACTAGGAGTCAAATGAAAGCTAACCAAGTTTTTTTACATCTTTGGGACACCACTGCTATGAGGTCTCAAATCACATCTTGCAACCTACCTGTCTCCAAACAATCTAATCTTTGGACTCGAGATGCAGTCACATCGCTCCTGCTTTCTTAGGTAAATGGATAGCAAGGGGTGTTGGTCTGCCGCCCTCTGCAGAGATAATCATGAGCCATCTGCTCCCAGCTTTTCACACCCACTAGTTCCAGATTCTACTTAGGTTGTAAAATAGGTAAAAATAGGTTTCATGCAATAAGTATGCTCAATATTAATTTTCAGAAACGAATTAATTAAGCTGAGAATTGCACATGAGCATAGCACCTCGTTGCAGAAGGGTTTTTGGCCTTAGAGAGGCATGTGGCTTTACTATACAGAAGGCACAGCCAGCTGAGTGGAGCCAGGGACACCCAGGCGTGAGTGACAGCAAGCGCTCCTCAGCCTGCAGCCTCAGCTTTTGGCTTCTGTCTTCCAGTTGCAGAACCAGAGCGAGCTGCGGGCCCCCACCGCAGAGAAGGCTGCCTTCTTCCTGGACGCCGCCATTGCCTCCCGCAGGAGCCACCAACAGGACTGCGATGAGGACGACCCCCGCAACTCACACGTGTTCTTCACACTGCACATCTACCAGTACCGGATGGAGAAGAGCGGGAAAGGGGGAAGTAAGTCGACCACTCCACCCTCCTGCCTCCTTAGCGGCTCTGGCCCTAGCCAGAAACCCCTCGGACAACCATGACGTGTGTGTGTGTGTGTGTGTGTGTGTGTGTGTGTGTGTGTGTCAGGGTCTTGCTCTGTCACCCAGGCTGCAGTGCAGTGGCACGCTCACAGCTCACTGCAGCCTCAAACTGTGTGTGTGTGTGTGTGTGTGTGTGTCAGGGTCTTGCTCTGTCACACAGGCTGCAGTGCAGTGGCACGCTCACAGCTCACTGCAGCCTCAAACTCCTGGGCTGAAGTGATCCTCCTGCCTAAGTCTCCCAAGTAGCTGGGACTGCAGGCTCATGCCACCACACCTAGCTATTTATTTTTTTATTTTTGTAGAGATGCGACCTTGCTATGTTGCCCAGGCTGGTCTAGAACTCCTGGTCTTGAGATCCTCTTGCCTTGGTCTCCCAAAGTGTTGGGATGACAGGTATGAGCTGCCACGCCTAGCCAAACTTTTCTTACTAGACTACAATATGCAGTTCAGTGATTCGTAATGCAAGATAATTATAGTGTCTGGGCTGAAGTTTACTTTTGAACTGTCCAGGGAAAGGTGTTTGCTTTGGTAAAGATGATTTACAAATGTCCTGAGAATGTGAGAGGTCAAACTTACAAAAAGAAAACAACTGCCTAACAGTATCTTTTTGTTCACAGACCCCAAAAATGCTCATCAAGACCAACATTTATCCACCAAGGCACCCTGGCAGTGTGTTATTATCATTAGCTTGAGGCCACTACGTGGGCCATGTGTTTTTAAATAGCAGAGAAATCAGAGTTTTGAATAACTACCCAGACCCTGGCTGCCTCCCTCAAATCACCGGTGAAGGTTTACTGTCAAAACCCAGGCACAGTGTCTGCTCTTCGAGTGAGCTGCCCTGCCAGGAACCCGACACTGTGCCCCTACGCACCCCTCTTGGCTGTGTTTCCAAAGTCAGCCCGGGCCGGGGTGCAATCCTCTGCCTTCTGTGAAGTAGTGTTTACTCTATGCCCAGCAGAGTTGAGCACCAGATCAGCTGAATGTCTCCAGTGGGGATCTCGGAGCAGGGGCAAAGTGGTCTGTTGATTTCACTGGGTTCCTAAGGCAGGTTATGGGTAACAGGGCTGCTGGGCTGGCCGGGCAGTGGCTCCCGTGGTTCCTCCATGTCCCGCTCTGCAGGGCTTTCAATACACAGGTAACTGGTTGCCAGCGCTTTCTGCATGATTGTCTCAAAGACACTGGATGCCAGAAAAACAATCAGAAAACTGAGTTAAGAGTCTAACCCTGGACTGGAAGTTGTAAAGCTAATTGACTAAAGCGGAGACAGTCCACCAAGCTGTTCTAGATGAAGCCTAGAATTAAGACATCCAAGTAGGACCAGGCATGGTGGCTCACACCTGTAATCCCAGCATGTTGGAAGGCTGAGAGGGGCAGATCACTTGAGGTCAGGAGTTTGAGACCAGCCTGGCTAATGTGGAGAAACCCCAACTCTACTAAAAATAAAAAAATTAGCCGGGCATGGTGGCACACATCTCCCAGTTAGTTGGGAGGCTGAGGCAGGAGAATTGCTTTAACCTGGGAGGCAGAGGTTGCAGTGAGCCCAGATCATGCCACTGCACTCCAGCCTGGGTGACAGAGCAAGCCTCTGTCTCAGAAAATAAAAATAAAATGACATCCAGCTGGGATCTACGGACAGGATCCCCCTGCTTTCTCCCTAAGCCTCCTCGTGGCTCAAAAGACCTGGAAAACAGTACTCCTGGGGGCAGAGCTCTTGCAGGCTCCTGTTGCCCCCAAGCAAAAGCTCCTCCCTCCCCCACCTCAGTGACTCTCTTCCTACTCCTTAGTTATTGTTGTTAAAATCCAGGTTTATTGCAGTATAATTTATATTCACTAAAACATCACTTTTGTGTGTCTTTAGATGAGTTTTGGCCCATCTATACAGTCATGTGGCCACCACCATTATACAAACAGAGCACGAGGCTAAAGTTCCCTCTTGCCCTTTGTCCCTTCCCCTGACCTCTAGCCCCTGGCCACCATGGATCTGATTGTTGTTCTGGTTTTGCGTTTATCCAGGATATCACAGGAATGGACTCTTGTGGCCCGGACACGGCCTTTTGTGTCTGGCTTGTTTCACATAGTGTAACGCATTTGAGATTCCTCCATGCTGCAGCACACGTCTCTTGTTTCTTCTGGTTCCTGCTGCCTGCTCTGCCTGCTCCTTTAGTTTTTTTGTTTGCTTGAGACGAAGTCTCACTCACTCTGTCGCCCAGGCCTCGGAGGTGCACGTGGGCAACGATCTCGGCCTCACCTGCACCTCCGCCTCCTGGGTTGGAAGCGATCTCCCTGCCTCAGCCTCCGTGTAGTGTGGAATACAGGTGCCGCCACCACATCTGGCTAATTTTTGTACTTTAAGTAGAGAACAGAGTTTCACCTAATTGCCAGGATGGTCTCGAACTCCTGACCTCATGATCTGCCCGCCTTTGGCTTCCCAAGGTGTTGGGATTACAGGCTGAGCCACACGCCCGGCCTCTCCTTTAGTTTTGCCTGGGCCTGGAGGCTTGACTATCTACCCTGCCACCGGGACAGAACGAAAATATCCGCAGCTGGGGCTGGAGTTGCTCTAAGGGGCCGCTTTTTTATGGCTCTGAAAATCAGCCTGAGCTGCCTCCAGTGGCGCTGTGACGAATCCCAGAGGTTCCAGTCCCTCACTGGCAGCCGGGCGGGCGCCCAGGAGGTGCCCTGTAGCGCGAGGTCATCTCTCTCTCGCAGCCCGTGATGGGGAGCGAAGTCTCACTGGAGAGGAGCTGAGGATAGTGAACGGGAATCTCTCTGGGGAGATTACTCTCGGTAACAGCCTCACCACCATGTAGAGCGCTTCCGCTTAGAATAACGTTCTTTTTTTTTTTTTTTTTTTGAGACGGAGTTCGCGCTCTGTCGCCCAGGCTGGAGTGAGTGGCGCGATCTCAGCTCCCTGCAAGCTCGCCTCCCGGGTTCCCGCCATTCTCCTGCCCACAGCCTCCGGAGTAGCTGGGACTACGGCGCCGCCACACTCGCCCGGCTAGTTTTTTGTATTTTTAGTAAGAGACGGGGTTTCACCGTGGTCTCGATCTCCTGACCTTGTGATCCGCCCGCCTCGGCCTCCCAAAGTGCTGGGATACAGTCGTTGACCACCGCGCCCGGCCAGAATAACGTTCTTAAAGAAGGAAATAGGGATTCGGATAGGGATGAGGAGATCCAGACCTTTAAAATCAACAGCACAATTGTATCCACACTTCTCCTGACTGTGTGGGAGTTGGCCTTGAACCCTGCCCTCACTGTTTTCTCCTGGGTAGTGTCTTCGCCCTGTCAATGTAAGAGTCTGACGAATGTTTAGTTTATTCTTTTACGCAGCTGTCAATAATCATCACTATCAGAGCCTGCAGTACTTTCTTGTACTTTCAGCAAACAGTGACTTGCAAAACATCTAAATCTTGAGCCAAACGACTCCCAAGTGGCACTGAGGAGAAAAACTCAGGAGATGGGATAATCTCTCCTCCTTCCGGGTTTCAAACCAAACTGAGGACAACTCTGCTTTGGGTTTTGTACTTTTTTCTTTTTTGCGGTTCTGCTTTCCACTTGGAATCTGAAAGTAGGGAGAAATCTTGAAAACAAGGAAACAGTTCATAAAATGACTTCAAATATAGGAACCTGAAATTCAGCTTCCACAAAAGTTTAGGCCAAGACATTCCCTAAACACAGTGATCCACCCCAAATCAGTACCTAAGGAATCCTGCACACTTATTAAATGTGTAATAGCCAACTCATCTTCCTATTTTTAAATTGTGAAAGAGAATTGCTTTTAAATAATGCATTCAGGTTAAAAGAAAAGGCAAACACCACGCATGGCTTCCAAAACCTCTGTTAGGTCCTTCCTAGTGTTTCAGTAGATGAGGACAAAGAAGGGAAGGAGTCCAGGGGTCGTGGGATCGGCAGACCTGGGGGACATCTCTCCTCTCTCGAGGGGAAAGGATCCAGGCCAGAGTGCACACCGCCTCCCCACCTGGGACTTGCTCGACCTCAGTGAATTTATAACTGTTTAAAATATTATGAGGCGATTTGGAGGGTTGTTTAAAATGGAAATTTTGTTTACTTAGATATAAGTAATAATCCCTGCGGACCTGGCAGCCAGAACCCAATTAGGGGAAAGTTTATTAATTAGTCACCCCGCAGGAAAGCCATTAGAAGAGAGCTCTGCCGCAAGAACTAAACAGGCTGTGTGCGCGCGTCTGAATCTCATACGCACACATGCATTTTATACATTTTACACACAGATGCATTTTACACCTATAATTTTACACACAAATGCATTTTACCCATATGTAGACAGACAAAAAAAGGTTTTAAACATTTCCAGTCAAAATAGAAAGTCTTTGTTGATGTATCCCTGTTTTGCAGATAGCACTAGGTTAAGCTTCAAATATCTCCCTGTTTAAAAGGTCATTGGAATTGGAGGAACTGATCCTTCAACATCATGGAGGCCTTCCTCTGCTTTGCTAAGCCAAATCTGTGATAGCTTGAGAGCCTCCTTGGGGATCCCAGCACTGGGAAAGAGACCCTGACGCCCTGCTGATCAGAGAGCTGTTGCTTGTAACGACGCGTCTACCAGGCACCTCAAACAAGGTGGTGCTTAGGACCAGAAATGTTTCGGGCTTCAGGTTGTTTTCAGATTTTGGAATATTTGCATATGTAATGATATCTTGGGAATGGAACCCAAATCTAAATATAGATTTCATGTATGTTTCATATATGCCTTATAGACATAGCCTGAAGGTAACTTTATACAAGATCTTCAATAATTTTGTGCATGAAACAAAGTTTTTTTTGCTTGTTGGTTTTTTTTTTCTTTTTTTTTTTTTTGAGATGGAGTCTGGCTCTGTCGCCCAGGCTGGAGTGAGCGGTGCGATCTTGGCTCACTGCAAGCTCCGCCCCCCGGGTTCACGTCATTCT